TACTAGCGAATAACCCGTGCCTCCGGCACGGTAGTTTGTGAGATTTAGGAATTTCAGTCGGAATTTGAATGGGTAATATTACGTATGTGCATTTGAAATGTGAAGTTTAATGTAGTTGTGTAGTTTATTTTGCTTTTATATAAATAGGTATCGATAATACAAAATTCAAATTTACTTTTTTGAAAGTTCTATTTTAGAAAGAGAAGATCTGTTATATTCGTTATAATCATATTCATATATACGTGTTGTGATTACGGTATGGAAAAAAATCAAAGGGTTTAAGAAAACGTTATTAATGGTAATTATTTTGTTTCTATTTTTTTGGGTCGATATTAACTTTGATGTTAATTAATAATCAACTTTATTAATTTACTTTACCAATGCTTGGTTCAAAATTTGAAGTTAATGTGAATTATTGACTTTATGACAAAAAAAATAATAAATTTTTATATTGAGTATAATATCATACTTAAGTAAGTAATAATGATAATGATATAATTTGTACAAAAAGAATTTTATTAATATGAAATTTCTAGCAATTGAGACTAAATTTTTTTTTTGTTTTATGTATTGTATGTGGTAGGTAAAATGTCCAGTGATTAATGATGATATAAGTATTTTAAAGTGGAAAAAATTTTTGGGATATTAAAGTTGATTATGTTCGTGTGTATTAGACATAAGAGCTCCAGGGTATACTATATTTGTTGTTGTTGTATCAATATTTTCTTGAGGAAAAAGAACTTTAATTGAGCATAGAGAGGTACTTCGCATAAGGGCTACATAAAGTTGGCCATGTGTAAATACAGATTTTTGAAGGTTAGGACCTACATATTTTACTGATTGTCCTTGCGATTTGTTGATAGTTATTCCAAAGGCAACACGTATAGGAAACTGTCTTCTTTTGAAAATAAATAGAAGTTCAGAAGTTGAAGGAGTTAAGGAGATACGGGGAATAAATGTAAGATTCCCAGTATAATTGCCGCACAGTATTCATGCTTTGATGATATGATCTGCTAGTTGTATTATGACTAAGCGAGTACTATTGCAGAGGCCTTCTCCTGGAGCAATATTCCTAAGAAGTATTATTGGGCAACCTATTTTAAGATTAAGTTTCAAAGGTGGCATTCCGTTGGGTTTAAGTGTGTTGAGAAATTCAGTAGGGTAGATAGTATTATAGTCAGCGCCTTCTTCAATTACAGCTTCATCTGCACTAAAATATGTGTGTTGGTCTTCTGGAAACATGTTAAGGATTTCTTGATTAATATGTTCAGCATCTTCATTTCATGGAGAAAGGATGGTTCATTCACTAAGATATTGATCGTTACATATTCCTATTTTTGAGATATCAGGAAATATGGCATTGATAAGCGAGTTTAAGTTTTGATCTGGTATCTTCATAAATTCTGGAAGTGATATCTTATTATCTACACAATTTGTGCTATTTCTGAACTATAAAATCATGAATGAATTAATATTTAAAGTAAGTAATAATAAAATAGGGAGTTATATTTACATCTAAGAGCCATTGTGCAAATTGACAGTTTTTTTCTGACTCTGTACTAAAACATATATTCTTTTTTAGTGAAAGTACTTTAATGTGTTTCTATAAATACGATCTTGTGAATGATGCGGCTACAATTTCTTCTCTAGATTCTTTTATGATTACTGAAAGTATTTGGCAGAAATCTCCTCCAAAAACTACAGTAATTCTGCCAAATGGTTGATTATTATTGTGAATGTTTCATAAAGTATGATCTATTACCTCAGGACAGTGACAATGTTGCATCGGTGACTCATCTCAAAAAATAAGGGAAGCTTGACGCATTAGTTCAGCTTCTATCAAATTTTTGTTAATTTCATAAAATGAATCTTTATCTATATTTATTGGAATCTTGAATCTTGAGTGAGCGGTATGACCAAGATCAAGTAGAAGGGCTGCGATACCCGAGGATGCTATGCAAAGGACAATTTTTCTTAAGCTTCTAATTTTCATCGCAATAGTGTTGTAAACAAAGTTTTGCCAGTTCCAGCATAACCATTGAGGAAGAATAATTGACCATCTTGCTTAATTACTGAGTCAACTATGATGCGGTAAGCAGCTGTTTGTTCAGAATTTAATAGTGGAATACGTTCATTAATGATATCTTAAAGTTTTTGATAATCTCATGCCAATTGTTCTGTGATAATATGGGATCTATTGTGATGCCCCCAGTTTTGTCTCCAAAGAGGCATTGGTGAAAACATTTCAAGAAATTAATTAGATTGGTGAAGAATTTTGTCTAAGAGAAAGAGTCCAAAGTCAAAAACTTGGTCATCAGTAGGTTGGTGGATATTATAGTTTTTAAGTAAATAATATCAAAGATTATCACAGAGATTAACACGGAAGTGCAACCATAATTTATCTGGATGAGTATGAGTATATTGAGTAAGTATGATAGCAAAAAGAACCCTTAATTGGGATCCAGTATGTAGGATAGCAGCTTCTTCAAGATATTGGAACTACTTTTGATCATTTTCTAGTAGCCCCAAAACTATATATACACTTTTAAAGATTGGATGAATGATATTATTAATGGTTCTCAGATGTTTAAAAGATGTTGGACTATGAATAGATGTAAGAAGTAGCCAAAGATAAAATCGTTCTTCTGCAGAAGGACCGGCGAAGTACAAATGACCAATTGCAAATCCTTGTTTTCATGATATCCATTGTTTAATTTTTTTATTCCAGACAAAGTGTTGCAAAAATTCTTAGTAAGTGTATTGTTAGGCAGATTTAAGATTTGTGCATGCTTCAAAAAAAACAGTGAGCATTGTTTTTTGATGTTCAGCATGAGAAAGGATAGTTGATACATCATCAGTAGGATCAAATACAACTGTATGCATTTCAGAGAGGTGTAATGCTAGTCTTACAACATTTGGCACTTCTTCATGTAAAGACATACCAAAAAGACACCACACTGCTTCAGCAGCACCAATATACCTTGCATCAATATATTGTTTGATTTTATCTGGTTCATAGCCAAATTGCATTGTTATTCTATCATGACCTTTATAAATATATTTATGAATATATTTAATTGCATATACAGAAGCACAGATTTCAATATTAATGTGACAGTTGTATTTTCTACTAAGGTAATGATTGTATGGTACAACATCTCGATTATCAACAAATTTTCTTCTGACTTCAAATATTCTGCCATTGTTTTTTTTGTATAAAGGAGGTACTCATCTTCATTTATCAAAGTTGAATCACGAAAAATCTTTGGATAATTTTTGCTACATTTGCTATTAATCATACACGGAGCTTATGGATTGTAAAAACCACAAGAACCATAGATTATACACCGAAGTATGGTATCAAAAAGGATTGAATCTTTTTGTTGATCAGGAAATTCAGCACATACTATTTGATCAACATCTGCAGATTCTTTCACTCTGTCATTTTGTGAAGAAAAATCAAAAAATATATATGTGGGAGACCCCGTTTTTGAAATTCAATTATATATACATGTGTGACAACTCTTCGAAAAATATTATTCTTTTTGATATCATGAAGAAGTGCCTGATGTTTTAGTTCAAATACACATGCTACCAAGTCTGGTCTATCAGCAGTAGTTTGGTCTAGAAATAATTCGTTAATTATTTCAGGCCAGTTTGGATTTGTAGTCATTGTTTCAAAAATATCAGGATGGCCATAGAATTGGGTAATCGCTATTGAATCTTGAAATATTTCAAACATGTGATGGGCACTTCCAGTATGAGTTGAAGAAAAAATTATTTTATGGCCAAGGCTATTTAAAGATAATTCTTCATTTGAATTATTTCCAACCATATCTGTAAGATTTTGATATAGGTCAGTATTTTGATTCATACAGCCCATGTGTCAACAATGAACTCTTGAAATAGTTTTTCATCATGAAGAATTGTAGAAAATTTATTGTGCCATGGAAAAAGTCGAAAAGTATAAAATTCTAATTGAGTTAAACGTGGTATATTACTTTGGTTTTCAGGAGATTGTCTTTGTATATTGGTCGGAGTATAATACAAATCTGGGTGCCATCCAAGTTCTCCATAAGGAAAAAACAAAACATAATGGAGGGGTAAAGAAGCCAGGTGTTCTTTATGAATTCATTGTAGTGGTCCTTTATGAAGTCGAAGAATAATATCACGCATTATTTCAGGTATTGAAAGATTACCTGGTAGAATAATAGCTATCTCATTTGCAGTTGGAAGATTATAATAGCATCAATCAGTTTGTTTATTAAAATGAAGAAAAACTTTTAGATCTATTATTTGTTGGTTTCTTGATTTTGTAAAAATATTTCATGTGCCTGTTTGTATATAAAGTAAAATATATGATATTTATGCAAGAGCTCTTGTATTCTCCACATTATATTTGGTGATAAAGATTCATTCCGTTCTATCCTTAATTGATATGCTATCTCTAGATCATAAATGTAGAGTTGAGCATAAGTTGCTTTAGCGTCTAAATCAGGAAGCAAAGAACCCATGCGATGATATAATTCTCTGCATATATGGAGGCTATATGGTCCATAACCGTCAAAAACAGATTGGTCAATTTTTGCACCAAGAGAAGTGAAGGCATGTGCTGCATTATACTGTCGAATATTGTATCGAAATTCTTTAGAAAAATCATCCTGACATTCAAAAAGTTGATATAGTAGGAGTGGTGGATCTTGTAAAAATGGTAAAATAACATGACCATGTGAACAACATGTACCAAATTTTGAACAGTTGCGAGAAGATAAAGTTAGATGCTTATCGAGCCAGTGTAGTGCATTACAATAAATGCATTCTATATTTATTCAACTAAGATTATATCACTCATACTAAGTATAGACTGTGTTATCTAATTTTGCATATTTTCTGTTATTGTTATCCTATTTTGATATTGTTGCAAAATTTTCTCTAGCTCTTCTTCGTTGTTGAGCA